GTCTGTCTGTCTGTCTGTCTGTCTGTCTGTCTGTCTGTCTGTCTGTCGTTTTCCTTACATTCCAATAAATCACAGATACTTAGAGGAAAAGGAAAATCCTGTTTCTCTACCCTACTTCCTGATCTGTGCAATTACAGTTAATAAAGAATGAGTAAACTGGAATACAAACCTGAATGAATCATCTCATAACTCATGGTTACTTACTTCTTTTTGTAAATTATTGATGTACAATAAATGGCTGTCGCTGGCGTTAGCGAGAGGCAGGAAGCTGAGCTCCTTCTTCATCTCGTTTTCCATCTATGCATCAAAAAGGCAAGAAAAAAAAACAATAGATTTACAGACAATTTTGCACACGATTGCACAAAACACGTCAGCCACGTTGAGCAGCTGGTACCTGGTGGTTGACAGTCAGTGCATTGATTACGAGGACGAGCAGGAACAGACAGCTCAGGATCATTCCAACTGCAAACTGATGCAAAAATATACACAGGTCAGATCTTTTATTATTATTATTATTATTATTATTATAGGTTTTGTTTGATTGCCTCCCAAAAAAACAAAAGTGATTTTCTTTATCTTACCACTATAAGTGCCCACTTCTTCTCTTTCTGGGCACCAAATCCACCAAAGATGACAAAGAGCAGAATGACAGCAGAAAATATGTAGAGAAAATGTAGCCCTATGATTTCATTCTCCGCCTGTAGAAAGAAAGCATAACAGAAGCAGGTTGGTTTAAAGCAAACACGGTAAAATTCACTTTCAGTGCTTACAGTTAAAGGTTAATTAAGGGTAGGATACAACAAAAATTCGAAACTATCAGGTTGACAGTATTTTCTGATTGTGTCCTGTCCTGGAAGTTTGCTGTGAGGAGCTATGAATTATTATTTAATAGCAGAAGATAAAGTGATTTAAGTTTCCTCATCAGTAATATAAGGCTCAAATTTAGGATTTTTTCCCGCTTTTTTATTGTCAATATAATTTCTGCCTTGATGAAAGCAATAATAATTGCCCTTATAACCTCAAATTAATAAGGTTACCAATCAAAGTTATCAAACCCAATAATTATCAATGCAAATATGTAAAAGTACATTCTGACTTTTATCTACAATTTAGTTTTACCTACAAAGCTCTCAACAACCTAGCTCCCTCTTATATTACATATCTTATTGTTCCATATTTTCCTAACAGAGCACTTTGCTCTCAGACTGCAGGTTTACTCGCGCTTCCTAGAGTTTCCAAAAGCAGAATGGGAGGAAGATCGTTCAGTTATCAGGCTCCTCTCTTGTGGAACAAACTTCCAGTTTATGTCCGTGAGGCTTTAAGACTGGGCTTAAGACTTTCCTTTTTGATAAATCCTATAGTTAGGGTTGGCTTTTATGCTGCTATAGGTTTAGACTACTGGAGGACAAACTGATCTAATTTCTTTAAATGATTTGTTACAATTGAATAGTTTTCATTTGATATGAATTCTATATTAACATGTGATTCTTGACCTGCCGTTGTGTATCTGTTCCTACCAACTCAGCCAGCCGAAGATGGCCGCTTGTCCTGAGCCTGGATCTGTTAAAGGTTTCTTCCTCACGAGGGTTTTTCCTTTCCACTGTCGCCTTCACGCTTGCTCAAGATGAGAGTTCTGAGATGGAGTTAAACTCAAAGCAGTCTGCTCCTCAGATAAATAGTGTTAACTTGTTATTTTTATGAATGAATGTTTCTGTTCAGTGCCCTGAGACGACTTCTGTTGTGACTTGGCGCTTTATAAATAAACTGAACTGAATTTCTTTGTCTTAATATGAAGTGGATGCATTTCTCCTGCTGTAGTTTCACTGTGTGACAGCGTGAGAATTCAGGTGAGTAAAAGTTCAATGTTGAAACATGGTTTAGAAGAGGATGCAGCTGTTTTGAGCTAAAATGTCTGATCACTATTGAAACAAAAGACAAAATGCACCTGCATTGTGCATTCCACTGTATTTATTTGGATCAGTATGTTTCCCATGTGTAATTCTCATGCCTAAATCACAAGATATTTCAAGGCCATGATAATGATAAACCACCAAATATACTATCATGCTCTGTAAAAGTGCATTTATTCCGGTTTATCTTTTACTTCATGACAATAAAGGGAAGGTTAGATGTGAGGTGCCTTTACAGAGTTTAGAAGTCTTATAGAAAAACATGGTCTGAAACTTTTTTATTTTTTTAATTTGTTCATGATAAATTACTTTAAATCTTCATTACCTTTTCACGAGCGTGCGAGACTCCGTGACTGAACAGAGTGAATCCCAGCAGCAGGATGCAGATTGCCTAAAAGCAGCAACGTAAACTGCATTATTCAGGAGCAAGTTCACTGAAAGTAAACATAGTTCTACATAAAATGATGTACTGGAAGTATAGGTTTTGTCCAGAAGGCGGGATAGTTTTACAATAGCTGTCAAACTTTACAGAAACAAGTCATTTTAAGCAACTTATTAAAAAAATCAACTCCAGCAGGAGTTGCAAACATAGTAAAACACATTTTCCTTTATGTCAACATTGTTTTCAGCTCTTTTTTTTATATTAATTTTGGCTCCAGCAACTTGACACCCGAGAGATCTGAACAGGTTTTTTCCCAATAACTGCCTGTTGTTCCACACCCACCATCTTATCCCGATTTAAAGTCAAACCTTGTTTTTCCTGATAAAGCCTCTCCACACAGATGTTTGACTTGGGTCTGAAATTGCGCAAGAAAACACCTCCCCACTTTGTCTTTTTGATTAACGCTTTTTTGTTCCCAACCACATAAGGGATTAATTTTCCCTCTTTTGTTTATTCCAGTCAGTTTCTGTCATGAGCTGCAGAGACAGTGTCACAGAACGTACTGGAGGCCCGATGGTGGATAATGCACAAGTTTCAGGTCAAATAAAGAATCTGAACATCTAATAGTTTGTTTTATTAGATTAGCAGCAGAAAGAAACAACTCACCGCAATCAGAGCAATCACACCCACGTAACTCCGTTTCAACCAGATGTCCACTTTCCCCATTTTCCTGACCCTGGCCTCTCGACACAGATGCTTTGCGTCAGAGACTCTGCACAGACAAATTATTCTTGAAGAAACCCAGAACTGAGCCCAGTGGGAGGAGAATTACAGGAACCAATGTGTACTGCAGATAAAAAGCTCTCCCCAGGTGGAAGGAGGGGTATGTCTGTGTCAGGGGTGTGGCTATAGGGGGGCCTAGCAGGGCGTAGGCCCACTAACTACCTTGTTTTCCTTGTTTTGGCACCTAATTAATAAAAAAATAATAATAATAATTAAAAAATGGAAGTTCAAGATACCAGTCTGCATTGTTAATGTACGAGAAAGGGAAAAAACAAAAAACAGATTTCTAACTATAAACTAATTTTGTACCTCGGATACGGTAGATTGCTGCAAAACTGATGTTTTTTAGTCTCACCAAAGCACAAGTGATTTTCTTATAGGAACGATTTTAAATAATCTCGAACTGATATCAAAGCTCAAAGTGCATTTATTAGTCTCCTTTGGAAGAAATTTGCACACATTCCACATAAAACTCACACATTTATGTATACATATACGTATGCTGTCGTCTGCTCATTGATGAGCCTCACTGAGAGGGAAGAATTAATTTTTGTAGCGGTTATATTTATATAAATGAACGTGTACTTTAGTCCTGAGTTCAGTACAACGTATTCTGCGTGCAGAACATGCGGCATCTGACAAAACACTGTCTGCCTGTCTGTAGGCCGTTTGCTCAAACTGCTATTGGAAAGTTACAGGTTCAGCGGTGCCCATGATTTTATCTGTTGTCTTCAGCAAATTTAATATCAGAGCCTTTGATTTTGTGATCAGATTACCAAATCAAAATCATACCATATCTTATCACTGACTCAGTGGTTGCGCTGTAAAAAAAGAAGCAATATAATATTCTTGCAGACTCTAAGCACTCAAGTCAGTGGAGAAAATGCAGACAAAGGTGGATTTAGGCACAAACCCTTTACACTTGTATGTGCCAGGACATCGGTATCAAAGTGTACTCCCAAGTGTGACTTGACTTGATGTTATGTCCATGTACCTGAGGTCTACCAGCATCTCCGTTGTTATCTGCAGTTTATGGGCATCACACCATTTCACAAAGACATCAATCAACCCCAGATCTGTGGCTGCCTGAGTTGGAATTAGTTTTAAGCAGACCAATTATGTGTCATCCAGTGGTGTCATCTACATTTTTGTAGTGTGTATAATGTGCTTAGAAACCAAAGTACACCAGTTAGTACACTGTAATCGTCAATTTATTTAGATTTTTAAGCGTATTGAACATTTCAAAATTTATCTGATGCTTTTATTTGAATAAATGTACAACAAACTTTGCACAACAGTTGGCTTTGTGTTAAAAATAGGTTATAGAATTTATTAAACAGTATCAAAGCAAAACATGGTCAAGTATTAAGTAGGATTAATTATACAAAAAACAGGTTGAACCAACTCAGTGTGTCTATAAAATGTTCCAAATGTGTTGACAATGACACAAGCCCCTGTCATGTATCACAATGACGTGCTCGTATCATTGGGCACTCTTAAGTGAAATTCCCAAGCTTTTCTAGTGGGTATGCTCCGTATGCCCGCATATTGCATAGACTACAACACTGGTGTCATCTGAAAAGTTTAACACATATTGGTCCAACTGGGAGCTGACAGTCATTAGGTGAATAAAAATGGTGAGCTAACACACAGCCCTGAGGTCCTCCAGTATTAATTAATGCAGTATTTGAGCACACAAAGTTGAATTTTATTTGCTGTGGCCTGTTTAACAAAAAAGAGTACCACCTGATGAGAAATGAGTTTACTGTACCTCCAACTGAGTAATTTACAAAAATCACTCCAAGACATACAAAACAAATGCTGCAGGAGCTTTTTCCATGTTGCCAGCAGAGCAGCTCCATGTTTCATGTTAGATACCAAATATCAGATGATGTGAAACATCAGCTCATGTGTTTCTAATCCCAGCAGAAAGGTGTTTTTGTTCCAACAGTCACAAGTTTCTGACACTCTTGTTTTGTGAATCAAAAGCTGAAAAGTTAGCGAACCACTATTGTTCAAGGGACAAGAAATAAGTAAACATTGTTCAAATGTCCTTTATTTTACAGCTTGTGTTAAATTTGATGGCACACCCACCTTTCATTTTATCTCAAAAAATTTAAAAGCAGAAAAAATACAATACAATATATTCTCATCATCTAACTGTCTTTCATGTCCGTCCTGGAACAATCAGTGGACACACACACACACTATCAGTTCTCGGGACACTAATCATACACACACTCACACACATTATCATGTATCACTTTTCCTCAGCAAAAACAAAACACGTGCAAAGACTCTGAACTGATAACAACACTGAGAATTTGATGAAATGACATTTACTGTAAAACAGCATTTATTTTATTGTTAAATTTTTGCACAACAAACATTTGTATTCAGTTGATTATTTTGTTGTAACATCTGTTCTTGGCAATAAAAACTAAGCTATTGGAAAGTTAATGATAGCCATTTCTCATTCAATGGTGCCATGTTTTTTTGGTAAAATGCATTTGTGAGTTTAGAAGCAGCTGAATATTTAGGCTGTACATATAAAAATAAAACTTGACAAATCTCTGTCAATTCTGCTGCTGACTCTGACCATCGTCTCGTTTTTATAGTCTACAATAAAACTATAAGATTAGCAAACTGGATTAAAAAAACATATATGCATATAAAACCTAAATAATTATTAACTATATAGACAAACATATTAATGGTGCTTATGAAGTACTCCTTAGAATATTTACATTATTATAAAATACAAATTGTCCAACAAAGCGATATAGTAGAAAACTCAAACTACCTTTAAAATTCAAGCAAAAAAGATAAATGTATTATATAGACGTGTCTTAAGACAGAGAATTTAATTTGCTGACATTAGATATGATATAATAACAAGCTAATAAACATAAGATTTAGGAAAAATGAGTAGTGTAAAAAATTTAGACAAATAAACATAATTTCAAAATAATGTGGGGCACACCAAATATTGTAATTAAAATTGGGGTTAGGCAAAATGAGTGTCTTCAGTATTTCATGCATAAATCATACTAAAAAGTTATTTTTTAATAATATAGTCTAAGAAAATGTACCAAGGTACAATTATTATTAAGTATATTGATAATGTTACTATCACTGCTTGACATTGGTTTTAGTTGTAGACATATACTTACAAATACATTGGTAACACATTACAAAAAGTACACAAAATTTACTTAACTACTAGGGAATGCCTAAGGAACAAATCAGGAGTTAACGGATAGTTAACCAATACTCACTGAGGAACACACAGGCAAGCCTTATTAAAGGACTACTGGTTAGTTACTTTGTAAATAAAGAGGAACTAATGAAGAACTAATGGGTAGTTAACAAGTAAGTCAAAAAGAAATGAATCAGGAGCTAATATGGTGTTAACCAGTACTTACTGTCGTATATTTTGTTTTTGTTTGTTTTTTATTGCACCCACAGTTCTTATTTGAGTATTTTATCTGCATTTTGTGCATTTTAAGTTTTTGATGTGATCATTCTGAGGCATTATCTGCCTGGTTGTTCCTCCTCTCGGTTGCTTGCATGGTTGCTTTTTATCCTGATGTTATCTGATGTTCACTCACTGTAGCACTTTGAGATCCATTGTGAATATAAAGTACATTATAAATAAAAGTTATTATTACTTACTTACTTACTTACTTACTTACTTACTTTCTTACTTACACACAGCCAAGCCTTATTAGGGGACTACTGGTTAGTTACCACAGAAACAGAGGAGAAATTGTTCTGAATAAACCCTGCACCAGTGAGGCCACGGCTCGTAATTGTCAAAAACCTGTTTCCTAGTGATTACTGATTTTATTACCCACAAGCTCCTGATTCGTTCCTCTTTAGTTTCCTTGGTTACTACCGATTAGCTCTTGATTAGTTCCTCTTCATTTACAAGGTACTAACAAGTAGTCCCGTAATAAGGCTTGGCTGTGTGTTCCTCGGTAAGTACTCATTAACTACTCATTAACTCCTGATTCGTTTCTCTTTGGTTTCTATGTTAACTAACCATTAGTTCCTGATTAGTTCCTCTTCGTTTCACAGGTAACTAACTAATAGTCCCCTAATAAGGCTGGGCTGTGTGTTCCCCAGTAACTACTGGTTAACTACATATTAACTCCTGATTTGTTCCTGATTTGTTCCTGAGGTGTTCTGTAGTAGTTAATCAAATTTTGTGTACCTTATTGTAAAGTGTTACCAATACATTTTATTTATTTGTAGTTTCAATACAGATACAAAATGCATTTTTATCTGCATATACAGGCAGGCAACAAACACATGCAGTATCACCAACAATCACTAATAGCACAGCAATTAATAAAATCTGAGAAGTCACACTGAAATAACTGGAAAGTAATTAGCCTGGGTAATTGTTAATATTACATTTTCTGCAAAAAAGAAAAAAAATCAAGTTGGACACGAATCATAAGTTTCTGTGAGACAACTGTACTTTCCTGCTTTTGCTTCTGAACTGTAGACCACTTTAGGAGTTTCCAGCTTCTTATTAATTTGACACAGGATGGCAACGCACAATCCAATGGCCAACACCTGGGACGAAAAAGAATCCGAGACAACTGTATGGTCACAAACTCACAACTAACGTGTTTTGAGATGAATGAGATTTAAATGTCAACCAAAAGGAATGTTTTGTGTAAGAGTGCTGTTAAAAAAGTGAGTTAGTAGAGAATTTCTCTACCCGACAATATTAGACATGCACCATACATACCCACAGTAATATCATTCCTACTCGAATGCCTGTCAATATTTGAAGGAACTGCAGGTCGCGTTGGATGATAAGTGGAAGACAAGGCTGAAACAGAAAATCAGTCAATACTTTAAGTCATGTGTCCTCCATCCATCCATCCATCCATCCAGCCATCCATCCATCCATCCAGCCATCCAGCCATCCATTACCTTTACCCATTTCTTTCTTTTCAGGCCATTGAGTTTACTGGTGCCCAAGTCCAGCAGTCACTGTGTGAGAAGAGGGGTACACCCTGGACAGGTCGCAAATCCCATCACAGAGACACATAGAGACAAACGAGACAAACAACCATTCACTCTCTCACTCACACCTAGGGACAATTTAGGCCCTGTTTACACGACAACGATCCAATGAAAACTGAATTTTTTCCCCATTTCTATTACCACATTTACATGGAAACATTCTAATTACAATCTCTGTTTACACAGAAACGGTAGACGTGGAAAAGGTGTAATTCTCTTGCCATGCCACTAATTGGTTCTATGTTCTTTGAAACTTGAAACTAAGTGTGCATGCAAACCAGCATAGCAAAAGCCCAGATGATGTCCAAACTGAAAGCAGTCTGAGGAAATTAGATTGATATATTTATAAGATTCAGAAGCACAAACAATACTCTGGTATCCACCATTGTCGATAGTTTCCTCTTCTGTGGATTGTAGGAAGGCACTATGTTTTGCGTCATACTGCACATGAGCCAGGGATTCCTTCACAGAAAAGATCTATTTCTTCTGTTTACACGGCAATGGACACTGAGATGTTTTTGAACCATTGCACTCTGGAACCCGTTCTCAAATTGTGCCATTGTCAAAGAAAACATTTGCTATTTTTGTGTAAATGAACAGTAGAAACACAATGAAACTCTTCCATTTTCACCAGAAATCGTTTTCGTGTAAACAGGGCCTTAGAGTTACCAATCAGTCTAACATGCATGTTTTTGGTCTGTGGGAGGAAACTGGAGTACCCAGAGAAAGCTCACGCATGCACATGCAAACTCCACCCAGGAAGGTCCCTGGTCGGGATTTGAACCGGCAACTTTCTCTCTGAGAAGCAACAGCTCTACTGAATGCTGAGTCCTTTATGCAATTGTTTACGTAAAAACCACAATTATAATGAATCAGTTGTTTCAATCAGAGATTGAACATCAACAAAAAATAATTTAAACTGATGACTTGAGATTCAAACAGGCAAAATATCAAAGTTGCATATGAAGTATAATGATTAAAATCTGGTCAACATACATATTTAAGCTGATTTAAATGTGTTTATTTTGTCTAAGACTGCAAAATATATTAATTCAAATTGCAACATGAAAAGACTAAAGATCAATTTCAATCCAAAGGAGACAAAACTTAAATGTCTTTATTTTTAAATGGCTTTTATCCTCGAGTCCGTTGCATTTTCATTGAAAGAATTATGAAGCCAATTAAACCATTTTATTAGTTTTGGTCCTCTTCTTCTGCATTTACAATGTGATCTGTTTCGTTGTTTCTTTATAGTTGTATTTACATTTTAGACCTGTTACAGACCAGATGATGATTTTTATAATAACGCAAAGTCAAAGAAGGGAAAAACCAGAGGTTGTTCTTCCTTAAACCATCATTACCTCAGAATAAATCTTGATGGTCTGGCCTTCTATGAACAAGTTGGAGTCTCTTGGAGCGTCCATCTAGAATAATTAAAAAGGAACCAGAGAATAAAAAGGTTATCTGTTGTAACAACTGAAAATGTTTCCATAATCTTCACAAAATCTGCCATATGCACATCCTGAGAGAGAGGAGCAATTAGAATCTAGAGCAAGGGAATCTTAAAGGGATAATCCGGTAAATTCTGAAGGGATGTTCTGTTTGGAGAAAGATGGAAAGTCTGTGTCCAGGCTAGGCTAATAGCTTGGCAAACAATGTCCTGTTTTTAATATTGCTTTTCAGATGCTGTTAGCTAATATTAGATCTTTTTGCTTTTGTAAGACAACATTTTAGTTTGTTGATGTTTCCTCAATCAAACGTCTGTGTTCCTAACAGGTACAGGCCGTGCATATGCAACTGGTGTATCTTATCATTCCAGAACTTCCTCAGCTCCTAGCCAAATGAAACTTTCAGCAGCCTCAGCACCATGGGCATCAAACAGTTTTTGCTAGCACTTTAATGCATGTTCTCTTTGGGGATAGACATGGTTCAGTTGAGAAAATGTAGACAAACAAAGCAATCAATGTTATGCAAAAGTGCAAAGTTTAGTATATGTTAATGTACTAATATAATGGTTGATGAATGAGGTACTATGATAGCAATGTAACAGAGCATCACTTCAAAAATGACTAAACTGATGAAATGTAGCAACATCGCAGTGTATGAGCAGATACGAGTTTGAGCTCAGTCACTCACACATGGATTTGCAGAGTCTTCAACACACAAACAGGATCCTGGGATGTTGTTTTCCCAATCCATGTAGCTCTCCACCCCACAGCACTGTAACTGAAATGAAATTAAATAGGAAGTTGGTAATACATATTATAACTATGTTTGTACCACAACAATAAGCTGGTATTCACTTCCTGCTTGCCCTCGACAAGGACAGACACAGTTCCCTCCTGCTTTGCTCTTTGTCTTGTGATTCCTGTCAGAGTGTCTCACTACATATCCTCTGAATTATAAATTATGGATCTGGTCAGCTGGTCTCTCAACACAACTGACAAAATGTTCTCAACAAGAAGACAGGGCGAAGGAGAGCTCTCATGCCCTGAAGGGACACTCGCAGCTGGATACACAATGGATTCCTGGGACCAGTGGAAGATGGTGAGTCTCTTGTATTGTCCGTTGAGGACATAGACGTCGTGTATATAATTGGATTTATGATAACCGGATTTATGCTTTTGGGTGTTGGTGGGTATCTGGCATATTGACAAATTCGGAAGACGGCGGCAGCGGTTCTGGTAATTGTTAGGCTGCCTGCCTTATATGAAGGAATGTATCGAGCAGTCAGCTCTCAGGCGCTGCAAGAGCTGAGCCGTAAGATGGACGCAATTTCTGAGAATCACAGGCCACTTGCGGCTCCTGGGACTCATTGGCAGGAAGGAATCGACCTTAGAGAAGGCTACAAGCTCAGTCCGGCGGTGTGACCACAAAATTTGGTTGTTTGGAATCGCCAGTGAGACGTACCAGCAGAACTATGAAGGCAGACATGGAAATTCAAGCAGAGGCTGCCTGACCCAAAACAATTGTTATCTGACTTTGGCTTCGCCTCTCGGCTTTGAATTGGCCAGTTATCTCAAACTTCTCCGAGTTGTTTATGTGAACAAGAAGCTCCGCTCCCCTCCCGAGGACATCTGTGGATCTGTGTCAGAGTTGAGCCGGCTGATAGACACTGTGCCATCTTTATCAGGACTATGGAACTTTCTGGCAGTGTCCACGGACAACTCACTGCCCTCATCGGCCTCCTGATGCATAAATGTATTATGATGTCATCAGTTGTTTTTTTAATGCATCATATAACCCACTGCCTTTCATGTCAGTATTAAGTTATGATCAGTTATGTTGAGAAATAACCTTGGAAAATAAACAAAATGGACAGTCTTATGCAATTTTGCAATATGTCACTCTCAGAATGTGTGTTGTAATGCACTCTCATCTAATACCATGTGACATTTTTAGCTCAGTAGCTGCTTCTTACCTCCACCTGTGTATAATTGAGAGTATCTAGATGACTCTGTGTGGCATTAGCAATAGGCAGGAAGGTGTAGAATGAATCTTTCAGGATTTCTTCTATCTGTTGAACATACAGTAAAAGTTAAAAGTGAGCATTGATGAACAACTTTACGCATGCATTTTAAGTCTTAAGGTTTATTATGTGACACACAAAATAATTACTGACAAAAACACGTAAAAGTCCAACACACCTTGGGTTTTAGCACCAGAAAAAAAATTTCACCTGCAAGCAGGTACAGACAGATCAGGATCATCCCAACTGCAAACTGACAAACAAAAATCAGACTCTGAGCTCTAGAGGTTTTCACACAAGTCCTAAAAGTAGCTAAAGAGAACCCAGTTAACCACGAGACAAAAATATTATACTTGGTCATTTATTTATTGAGGAAAATTATCTAATATTTACTGTGTGAGTGGCAAAAGTATGTGAACCTCTAGGATTAGCAGTTAATTTGAAGGTGAAATTAGAGTCAGGTGTCGTCAATCAATGGGATGATGATCAGGTGTGAGTGGGCACCATGTTTGATTTGAAGAACAGGGATCTAACAAAGTCTGCTCTTCACAACATGTTTGTGGAAGTGGATCATGTTCGTGCACAAAGGAGATTTCTGAGAACCTCAGAAAAAGAGACGTTGATGTTCATAAGGCTGGAAAATGTTACAAAACCATCTGTAAAAGTTTGGACTCCACCAATCCACAGTCAGACAGATTGTGTACAAATGGAGGAAATTCGACCATTGTTCCCTCCCCAGGAGTGGTGGACCAACAAAGATCACTCCAAGAACAAGGTGTGTCATAGTTGGCAAAGTCACAAAGGACCCCAGGGTAACTTCTAAGCAGCTGAAGGCCTCTCTCACATCGACTAATGCTAATGTTCATGAGTCCACCATCAGGAAAACACTAGACAACAATGGTGGGCATGTCAGTGTTGAAGGAGAAGCCACTGCTCTCCAAAAAGAACATTGCTGCTCATCTGCAGTTTGTTAAAGATCACGTGGACGAGCCAGAAGACTGTTGAAAGAATGTTTTGTGGACGAATGAGACCAAAATAGAACTTTTTTGGTTTAAATGAAAAGCGTTATGTTTGTAGAAAGGAAACGCATGCGTTCCTACATAAGAACCTTATCCCATATGTGAAACATGGTGGTGGTAGTATCATGGTTTGGGCCTGTTCAGCTGTATCTGGGCCAGGACGGCTTGCTATCATTGATGGAACAATGAATTCTGAATTATATCAGAGAATTGTGAAGGAAAATGTCAGAACATCTGTCCATGGGCTTTATCTCAAGAGAAGGTGGGTCATGCACACAATGACCCTGAGCGTGCAAGTGGTTCTACCAAAGAATGGTTCAAGAAGAATAAAGTTCATGTTTTGGAATGGCCAAGTCAAAGACCTGACCTTAATCCAATCCAAATGTTGTGGAAGGACCTGAAGCAGCAGTTAAAGTGAGGAAACCACCAACATCCAGAGTTGAAGCTGTTCAGTAGGAATGGGCTAAAATACTTCCAAGCCGGTGTGCAGGGCTGATCAACACTTACTAGAAACATTTAGTTAATGCTACACAGTGGGGTCACACCAGGTACTGAAAGCAAAGTTTCATATTCTTTTTCCACTCACAAATATGTAATATTGGCTCATTTTCCGCAATAAATAAATGTCCAAGTACAATATTTTTGTCTCATTTGTTTAACTGGGTTCTTTTATCTATTTTTAGGACTTGTATAGAAATCTGACCATGTTTTAGGTCATATTTATGCAGAAATATAGAAAATTCTAAAGCGTTCACAAACTTTTAAGCACCACCATTTGTGTTCAAAATTAGATACTTTTGAACTTGATGGCACCAATGTGTTATTTTTATTTATTTGACTTACTGTTATTAGCGCCCACTTCTTCTCTTTCCAGGCACCAAATCCACCAAAGATGAGAAAGATCAGAGTTATGGCAGAAAATCCATAAATAAAATGCAGTCCCATAGTACTCTCTACCTGCGGAGCAAACACCAGAAAAGAGCAGCACCGTGGGAACAGGATGTGAATTATTTTGGTTTTATTTGACACGAAATGCACCAGTGTTTATGCACATTTACAATCCAGTTTTTTGCATAACATTTACTTCCTTACTAGGCCAAGTATATAACTTTGAAACTGTTCTCACGTCTTAATAAATTAAATGTATAATGCCCCCCCCCCTTCTACATTAGTGCAAATGCATGTTACCTGTTCATCATTTAATAAGTATCCATGAGCAAAAAGTGCCAACCCCACCATGAGAATGAGGATGACCTGCAACCAAAAACAACTATGATCCACGAGTTCTTTACATTGTTAACGATGCAGATGTTCAGGACTTTGGAATCCCACAGGTAAATGGTAACCATAAGGCTGCAGAGAAGTCAGCCTCAACCAAGTACCGACAGAGAATGAGAGACAGATTCTGTAAATCATTTAAGGTTATCAGATGCCCTGCTGGTAAAATAAATAGCTATTGATGTGAAGTAGACGGAGCTTTTTAGCAAGAAGGGCTTGGATTGTAACTTAACATGCAAAACGAAATTGGTAAATTTTGTTTTAAATGATAATGTATATATAGCCTACTGTATGTATATATACACACACACACACACACACACACACACATCACAATACATGTAGGGTTGCGTCTCAATAGCACCCTGACTGCCCAGGTAATAGAAAAGAGGGAGGCAGAAGACTAGAGGCATCAAGAGTCAGTGCACAGGATGAAACGGCAATGATCCTGGTGTACAATGAGGAACTGATAAATGAATAACAGTGTGAATGGAGTACTGGTAATCCCAAATGACTGTACCATCAACAATAAAAACAACAACAAAAACAGCACAAAAAGCTTAAGAAATGCCTAAAGCAGGGGAGTTGAGTCAAGTCGTGGGTTTTTTTGTTTGTTTGTTTTTTCAGTTCATCTAATTTTAAACCTATTAGTGTGGATGTGCTATTTTATTTTTAAAAAAAGATGTAAAATGAAGCATGAATAAAAATCTAGATGAGATTAAATGTGCAGTTTGAACTCTTTTAGATCCCGACGACATTAATTAAAAAAATATGCACCGGATGTTGATGACTCAATTTTTTAGAAATCTTCTTTTCGATTCAGTTCAGCTTTATGGTCACTGCATTGGGATTTTAATTTAATATTAAACCCATATTTAGATAAATCAAATAAAAATCACGTACCTCTTTCTAGAGCTGTCATTGTTTTAAAAGATGATATCAAAAATCTGGAATATTTAGATATATGAAATGAAAAATCTGATTGGTATCTCTCAGATTGGAGGCAATGTGTTCAACATAATGGTTCTTCCAGCTATCTAACTGTCAGTAATGGTGTACCACAAGGTTCAGTCTTAGGACACACCCTTTCACAATCTATGTAAGTCACGTGGGTCAGATCATTCCTGATGCATCCTTACATTTCTATGCCAACGACATAGTTGTTTATTGTTGAGCTAAATCAGTTGCTAAAGTTTTCCAGCTTTTACAGTCTGCTCTTGACATCATCCAGTCAGATTTGTTCCGTCTCAAACTGGTGCTAAATGCTGATAAAACCAAAAGGATGTTTCTCAACAGGAAGTCAGTATCAGCAGTCCTTCCTCTTTTTTTCCTTCAAATGGTGCTCCTATTGAGTTTTTTGATTCTTGTATATACTTGGGTATCTTGGTCGATTCGCATCTCTCTTTTTAGCCTCACGTCGAAAACTTGGTAAAGAATTTGAAACTAAAACGGGTTTCTTTTTCAGAAACAAATCCTGTCTAACTCAGAACGCTAGGAAACAACTTGTAGCTGCTACTTTCCTTCCCTCCATTGACTATGGTGACATTATTTACATGAACGCTCCTCCAAGCACCCTGCAGATGTTGGACTCTGTCTGTCACGGTGGATTAAGATTCATAACTGGCTGTAACTACCGTACCCACCACTGCACCCTGTATTCACTGGTTAATTGGTCGTCATTAACTTCACGCAGACTCTCAAACTGGTATATTTTCATCTATAAATCTCTTCTTGGTCTGTTGCCTTCATACATCTCCTCCTACATGTCACTTTGTGAATGCAGCTACAGCGTGCGCTCTCTGGACATTATTACCTGCAGTGTTCCCTCAGTGCAGACTGAACTAGGCAAAAGGGCCTTCTCCTACTCCGCTCCTGTAATCTGGAACACCTTACAAAAAGATCTGAAGCTCTTGACCTTGACCTCTCTAAGGGATTTTAAACTGTTAGGTTCATTGCAAAAACCAACACAGACATGTTCCTGTTTTTAGTATTTTACATTTTATAATGTAGCTGTTTTTGTTTAGTTTTTATTCAGTTTCTTCTATTTACTTTGATTGTCTATTGTTGTCTGTACCTCATCTGTGTTCATTGTTTCAAACAGGTCTCTCTTGTAAATGAGTCCTCGTGACTCAATGAGACTAATCTGTATAAAGAAAGGTTGAATTAAATTGAGTTGAATTGATTGAAAGAGAATCTTCTTATTACCAGTACTCCCATATCCATAAAACATACAAAAATAGATTTATTTTTAATCGTGGACTCACTTGAATCCAAAATTTTGGAGTGTATCTACTTACCATAGTCCATAGTCCTTGGAAATTTTATTTAAGAAAAAATAGCAAAAATGCTAAATGTTACCTAAAGATGCACACTAAAGCCAGATGCACCCTGCATGTGATGAGCTCCCTCTTCTATATGTTTAATGTTTTTTTACATTTGCGTCATAAATTACAAAATTCATGTTACATGTTGAGTTGCAGCCCAAACCCTCCTTCCTAATAACTTCCAATAAAAGGAAAAACAACTTACAAAAATATACAAACCGGATTCCAAAAAAGATGGGACACTAAACAAATTGTGTATAAAAACTGAATGCAATGATGTGGAGATGGCAAAAGTCAATTTTTTTTTTGTAATATAACATTTATGACAGATCAAAAGTTTAATCTGAGTAAATGTAACATTCTAAAGGAAAAATATGTTGATTCAAAATTTCACAGTGTCAACAAATCCCAAAAAAGTTGGGACAAGTAGCAATAAGTGGATGGAAAAAGGAAATTGAGCATATAACGAACAGCTCGAAGACCAATTAACATTAATTAGGTCAATTGATAACATGATTGGGTATAAAAAGAGCTTCTGAGAAGCCCAGATGGTAAGAGGATCACCAATTCCACCATTTTCAGAATGGTGTTACCCAGCTTAAAATAGCAAAGACTTTTAAGTTATCATCATCAACCGTGCATAACATCATCAAAAGATTCAGAGAATCTGGAACAATCGCTGTGCGTAAGGGTCAAGGCTGTAAAACTCTACTGGATGCTCGTGATCTCCGGGCCCTTAAACGTCACTGCACCTCAAACAGGAATGCCACTGTCAAGGAAATAACAGAATGGGCTCAGGAATACTTCCAGAAAGCATTGTCAGTGAACACAATCCACCGTGCCATCCGCTGTTGCCAGCTGAAACTCTACAGTGCAAAGAAGAAGCCATTTCTAAGCAAGCTTCACAAGCTCAGATGTTTGCACTGGGCCAGGGGTCATTTAAAATGGAGTGTGGCAAATTGGAAGACTGTTCTGTGTCAGATGAGTCACGATTTGAAGTTCTTTATGGAACACTGGGACGCCATGTCATCCGGACCAGAGAGGACAAGGATAGCCCAAGTTGTTATCAACGCTCCGTTCAGAAGCCTGCATCACTGATGGTATGGGGTTGCATGAGCGCTTGTGGCATGGGCAGCTTGCATGTCTGGAAAGGCACCATTAATGCAGAGAACTATGTTCAGGTTCTAGAACAACATATGCTCCCATCTAGACGTCATCTCTTTCAAGGAAGACCCTACATTTTTCAACACGATAATGCCAGACCACATTCTGCAGCAATCACAACATCATGGCTATGTAGGAGAAGGATCCGGGTACTGAAATGGCCAGCCTGCAGTCCAGATCTTTCACCTATAGAGAACATTTGGCGCATCATAAAGAGGAAGGTGCGACAAAGAAGGCCCAAGACGATTGAACAGTTAGAGGCCTGTATTAGACATGAATGGGAGAGCATTCCTATTTCTAAACTTGAGAAACTGGTCTCCTCTGTCCCCAGAC